AGTCAAACACTCTTCTTTAATTTTGCTTTGACTGTCTAATAGGGATGTCGACTTTTCAAATGACAATACAATAGACGAGCTACTGATAGGTGTGTCTTGCTTTGAATTTATTTGTTGGAGATCTGTGTCACTAGTGGTAGAAAGGGTAGACGATGGTATAAAATTATTTGATGCATTAAGCAGTGACGGTTTGACATTCAATATTTCTTTGGTATTTGGAGATGAAGGAGCATTGATATTATAAGTTTTCTGTTCAGAGTTAGTAGCACATGTTGTTGCTTTCCTAAATGAAGGTGGTGACAATGTTGATTGATGAATATCACCTGACAGTAACATTTTATCAATATTGGTTGATATTGCTTTTGTAGCAGCAGTGCAACTGATTTTGTCTTTAGTTTTCAGAGTATCTGTCACAGCTCTTTGCACATCGGCCGTAATGATTGTATCAATTAAACTATAGTCGGGAGTTTCATTTCTTTCAATACTAATTTGTTTGACTATCTCTTTAAATTTTGTCAAAAAATCTCCTTTTGTAATATCAATATAATATCTGCTGCCAAGAAAAATACCTAACCAACCTTTTGGTTTATAGTTCGGTTCTATTTTCAGAAAAAGTGCTCGAGATTGACGACTAAAAGCATATTCGCATTCGGCTTGACATGCTTGACTCGTCTTATACGCACTTGACATACAAACCAACATTAAATGTGAATCTTCAATCGCTTCTGCCATGCGCTCCATCATTGATCCGTGCATTTCTTTCTTATCAATCCATATTTTATATTTTTCTAATTAGTTTCAATAGACCGTTATAAATAATGTTGCACAGATCAGAATTCTTATGACAATAACTAATCATTAAATCGTATTTATATGGTTTACTTGTTTTCATCTGAAGATCTAATGTTTGACTTCTTTGTGCTGTGATTATCTCCCTTTCTTCTTTAGTTAGGTTGCCCCGTAAAACGACTACAGGACACCCACACCCACACCCACACCCACACCCACACCCACAATATTTGCCGTTTATTATAACAGAACTTTGTACAACAATGAAAGAATGTCTCTCTTTAAATGACGAGACAACAATTACTTATATTAAAGACAAAGAAATCTTAGCAACTATTCTTACTTTGCTTTATAATTTAGCGTCTAATTCAACTCTAAATGATGTTATAAAAGAAATTATGCCAAAGTCGATTTTATTATTCCTGTGTGATAACGAAGAGAAACAAATTACAAGTAATGGTACTCGACAAAAAATTAACATACCAAAGAATATTCAATTCCCAGCACGATCTCTAGTTGCACTATCAACTGAAGATATTGATGACTTGGATCAGCCAGATGAAGTTACCAACTTACTCGTTACATATTTGGCGAAGGCTGTTAAGAATGACTCACAAACGTATGAAGGAGTTCATGCTAGTAGGTTGCTTACCAATGTAGCAAGTGCGTAAAAAAAATAATATCTAAACTTGCTTCAGAGATACGATTATTTCTTGTAGCAATTGCACAGAATGATCAAGTGAAAGAACAAATTGTAGAATCTGGTGCATTGAGATTATTATCTGACTGTGTTCTTACTCCGGGAGCTGCTGTTTATAAAATTCAACAACCAGCATTAGACGCTATGTGGTTAGTCAGTTTTAATGGAAAAGCACGTCTCGTACTGAGGACAGATGAAAAACTTGTCACACGATTACAGGAAATATTTGAATCAGGCAGCAGCTTTGATCAACAAAAAGCAGCTGATGGTGTTCTGTGGCGTTTAATTAATGAAGAAAATTTTC